CCCAGAGACTGCAATATCCCTTAATTAAGGAATATACCTTAAACTATAGTAGGATCCCTAATATGATTTAAGGTATATTCCTTAATTAAGGGTATTGGAGTCTCTGGGTAGAGCATATTGAAGAATTGAATTTCGGGGTTTGGATACTGGGGCGGGGGGCAGCGTAAAGAGGAGTCTGTCTGAGGAAAGGCCGGCCTTTCTTACGTGTTTTTCAGAAGATGTGTTCCTCAACATCCAAGATCCTCGTCATTCCATGCTATGAACAGCGTTAGTTAGCACACGGTTGTGTGGCTGCCGATTGCAGGATGGCAGAAGTATCGTCGCAACCAGATGGAGGACATGAAGCTAACTTGGTCTGCTGCTCATCACGGCGGCAGTAGCAGTTGTTTTAGCAGCTACTGCGCATCGTCGCAGGGTCGTCGTAGTCGGCGTCGACGCCAGGCGTCGTCGTATTCTGCCGCCAAGTGAAAGCCTATTCTGCCTCGTAGGCCTTCAGCCCACCCTAAACCCCTAAACCCTAAACCCTAAACCCTAAACCCTAAACCCTAAACCCTAAACCCTAAACCCTAAACCCTAAACCCTAAACCCTAAACCCTAGACCTCAACCAGATTTTCAGGGTTGAGCCATGTAGGACACTGGCCCCTGTCTACTTTGCTGGCACGAACGGCACTAAACCCAAACAATCTTTAGGCTCGCGACGCCCTAAACTTTGAGCTGAGACTTTCGCGGGACCGTGATCAAGCCCACATCATAACCTTCCAAAAATCTTATTAGACCCTTACAGACCCCACCTGGAATCCTTTGCGGAAAGCTGATTGTAGTCTCATAGAACCCGTATACCGTCAGGGTTCTACACAAACCCCTGACAGACCCCTAGACCTCTCGAAACTTCAATAGACATACGCGACACAGAACCGACAGAGCCCTGAAGGGGAACTTGTGAAACTGCATGAAACCCCTATATTAATATAAGGGCCTGAATAGTTACCTACACTATGTGGGGCGTTCCTTATTAACCTTTCAAGGCGCCCTTTGAAGGAACCCTGTTTTAATTCTTAAGGCCCCTACATTATCCGTAAAGACCCTGAACCCTGAACCCCCTAAACCCTAAACCCTAAACCCTTAACCCCTAAACCCTAAACCCTAAACCCTAAACCCTAAACCCTAAACCCTACCTGCTTCGAACCCTCGGGTCCGACCTGAGGTCCGTTTGGATCCCGGTCTTCCTCTTGAACTTTTCCTTCAGCCCTTGCCCCGTCTGCCTGCGTCCTTACAAGGGTTTAGGAATTAGGGTTTCGGGTTAGGGTTTAGGGTTTAGGGTTTAGGGTTTAGGGTTTAGGGTTAAGGGTTTAGGGCAAGAGTGCCGTGTAGGCGTTCTATAATGGATCCGTAGGAGTTTGGAGAAGGGCCCCTTATGTTATGAAGATCGCGTCTGAGGTTTGGTTCAATCCAAAATAATTGGAACATGAAACTGATAAAAACTTATAGAAAGACTTTGACAAGCCCGTTTGAAAGTCTCTGGAACCCCAAGCCCTGAGCCCTAAACCCGAAGTCCCCAACCCTCAACCCCAAACCTACACACCTGAAGTAAGAGCTTCGTTAATATCCACGTCCTAGGCAGTATTTGGGAGACCCCTTAAAGAGGACCCTTCTTCACCCTACTTCTGGCTCTCTTAAAAGGGACCTTCATGAGAGGGTCTATATCCCCAAGGGTCCCCCTAACCCTGAGCCCTGAACCCTAACTCCCACCACTTAGGACCCTCTCACCCAGAGACTGCCAGAACCCCCTTGCCCCTTGCGCAAGAGATGGACCTTCAGTCATAAGAAGGAGCCCTCATAGGGATTTAGAGTTTCGGGTTTGGGGTTTAGGGTATTCCTCTTTGAACCTCATTAAGATCCATCAACAAACAGTCCTATCAGCTGCGCTAATGTAGAGCTCATACTTAATACTTACAATGTTATCCCCTTATGGTTCCTTTGTCGTTGTACTACGGTATATCGCGAACCCGCATTCTAATTGTTGACGCCCCGATTCTACGAACCATATAAACACTTTATTAACTGTGACCATGGCTTTCCGCGCAAAGTTTCTGAGGCCCCATCTGGCTCCGGGTGCCTGTGGTTGCTGTGGTCTCCTTCGGTGCAGCTGGCTTATTTAGGGTTTAAGGGTTTAAGGCTTTGGTGGTTTAGGGTTTAGCGTTTGAGGATTAGTAAGGGTCTTGGTTTAGATCTCAATCTCGGATGATCTTTGGGCTTTAAGACGCGGTTTCAGGAATTTAGGAACTGGGTCAATTCTAGATTTATGTATTCTAAGAATGGTTGATTGGATTCTAAGCTTCAAAGACCTGGGGGCAGGAAAGCCACAACTGTACCCTACAGACCCTAAAAAACCATGTAATGTACCCCCAAAACCGGTTGAATTTGTCAGAGACCCCTACATTGTCTTATGCAGACCCCCTAAACCCTAAACACTAAACTCTAAACCCTAAACCCTCGCAGCCTCTGCGACCTTCTAGACACGCGGTTTTCGAGAAGTCCGGCCCCGACTGCACTAAACCCCAAAAGTCCTAGAGTCTGGATACCCTGAGCCCCAAGCCAACAAGATTTCTCCTTCCACCCTAAGGCTTTGAAGCACTTTAGGGTTTAGGGTTTTAGGGTTTAGGGTTTAGGGTTTAGGGTGCGAAGCCCCTGAAGCACCGCACCCTACGCACTCAAACCCTGGACGCCCGAGCCATCGCAGGTTTCACAGCGGCACTCTCCTGCCTGCGAGGCACCGGCCGGTGGAAATGGGCGGTCCCTTAATTAAGGAATATACCTTAAATCTTAGGGGTTTAGGGGTTTAGGGTTTAGGGTTTAAGGGGTTCCGATTACAATTTCAGGGATATGCCTTCATTGACGGGTTTTGGAGATTTGAGGTGGAGGCTTAGGGTTTACGGTGTAGGGTTTTAGATACGAGGTAGATCAGATCACGGAAACCCCGGGATAGCTTCTGGATGACCTTCTCCTAGGTAATACTCGGGAGACCCCTGAAAAGGGACCCTTCTTAACCCTACTTCTGGCTCTTTTGAAGGGGACCTTACTGAGAGGATCTATATCCCCAAGGGGTCCCCCTAAACCCTAAACCCTACACCCAAACCCCCTCTATACCTTTAAGGGCACCCCTAAACCCTAAACCCTAAACCCTAAACCCTAAACCCTAAACCCTAAACCCTAAACCCTAAACCCTAAACCCTAAACCCCTAACCCTAACTACGACCTTCAAGGCTGACTTTCAGAGGCCCTTTGCCTTTCAAGAGGCTCTTAGAGTCTAGGCATGCGTAGGAACAGGGTTTAGGGTTTAAGGGGGTTTAGGGTTTAGGGTTTAGGGTTTAGGGGTTTAGGGTTTAGGGTTTAGGGTTTAGGGGTTTAGGGTTTAGGGTTTAAGGGGGTTTAGGTTTAGGGGTTTAGGGTTTAGGGTTTAGGGTTTAGGGGCTCAAAAAGCCCGGACTCTAAGCCCCAAACATCCCAAACCCAAAGCCTCAAACTTTAAGCCCCAAGCCGAAAGCTCCAAACCCCAAGCCCCAAACTCAAAGCCCCAAATCCCGAAATCCTAAACGAACGCCAACCCTAAACCCTATCACGGAGCCCCCTCAGGGGCTGTTTCAAAGGCTTCGGGCTTGGATTTCAGGGTTTAGGGTTTCAGGTTTTAGGGTTTAGAGTTGGGACTTTAGAGTTGTAGGGTTTAGGGTTTAGGGCTTTGGGTTTAAAGTTTAGGTTGTAGGGTTTAGGGTTTTGACTTCAGGGTTTTAGGGTTGAGGCTTTCGGATTTCCAGGGAACCCTAAACCCTAAAACCCTAAAACTCTAAACCCTAAGCCCTAAACGCTAAAGCCCTAAAACCCTGAACCCGAAACCTGGCAGAAGGAGCCGAGAGTTCCTGTAGCACGGCCTCAGACCTGACTTGGTGCGTCTGCAAACGATAATGAGATGGGTCTAATTTTCAGTAGCATCTACGGTGCTTATGGACCCTATAGACTTGTAGTGTAAAACTCCCCTATTAGGGTTCAGGGTGTAGGGCCTCTGAACGCTAAGTTCCACAAGAACAGAAGATGTTTCCGAAGCACTCGGCGGAAGAGCCAGGAAGCCTAATACTCCGTATGTAAATCAAATGCAGAATCCCACTGTGACTTCGGGTTTCTTGCAAAAAAGCCCTGCTGGGAACCCTTTATGAAGCCCTACACAAGCCTTACTTGAGTATTCTCTGGGTACCCCATCAAACCCTAAACCCTTAAATCTTACAGCAGCCCTCATCCAAAGTCTTCTTGAAGTAAGTACCATAGGGGCCTCAGTACCAAGACTTATCCTTCGGGTTCCTGAATATAAGTATGTCAAATGTATAGTATATAATATTCCCCCAAACCCTATTCTGACTGTGCGGCCCCGATGCAAAACCCCTTTTATTAGAACCCTTCTAGACCCCTTTTCAGGAACCCTAAACCCTAANNCTAAACCCTAAACCCTTTGAAGGGACTCTGTGTGATGGGGTGCTAGGGAAGAGGCTGCACAGAAAGAGCCCTCGTGTGCAGGAGCTCCAGAGGAATAGGCCGTTTGGACGGTGGAGGCGCCCCCCACTTCTGTCTACCCTAAACCCTAAACCCTCCTTCTGTCTTTCATACAGCGTACACCTCAGGGTTGTGTCGCGGCTCCTTTGGTGGCTTCACCCATTTAGACCCCTGAGCTGCCCCCCATGCTTGGTGACAGTTGGCATTCATTTCATGACGAGGGGTTTAGGGTTTACGGGTTTAG